AGATGTCTGAGTTGATTCGCACACACGCTCTCCTCTCTTCTTCCTCGCGGGGACGCAGGTCTTGCAAAACAAGCCGGCTCTGTTGTGCTCTTTCTTTTCAGCTGGAAGCCAACCTGGCAGGCTGACAGTAACACCAACTCAGAAACACAAGGTGGGGAGATACAGGGCCAGGAGAATGATTTAAAAGCCTGTGGTTTTCCAGTCTGCTGCGGCATACGACTTTCCGCACATCCTGCTCGCCGGTTTCCCCCGCTCGAGGCTGGGTTTTTGTTCCCCCCCCCCAACCAACTGCAATAATCACAGGCTCCTTTGCAAGCGGAGGGTAGCGCCCAATTTGCTAATTTGGGTTAATCACCGCTCCGGTGATAATGCAGCCTGCTTGCTCCGGACGGCGGTCCCTTGAGAGCCCCCGGGCGCAGGCGTGACGGCGCGGTCCTGTCCGCCCCGGGCTGGGCGTGGAGAAGGGGAGGTGAAAGGTTAGCCGAAGGGGACAGAGGCACTTGCAGCTCAGGGCTTTATGGGGAAACCATCTGCACAGCTGCGAGTCCCAAATTCCTGAGGCCTGACTTCCTGCGCGGGAAGAGCGGGCAGCCCTCGCTGCTGAACGCCTTGTGATGTCGGGGCTTTGTGGTTTCTCCCTTTAAATGCTCACAGGTGGGGCTGGCTGGCTTCTTGTTGCTGGCTTGGGGGGGGCGGTATTTTTGGACTCCGACCACTGTTTCTCCGTGGCCCTCGGGCTGCTCAACGGCGCCGTCTTGTCTTCCCCTCCAGCCGTCCCTGGGGTGGAGTGTGTTGGGTGGCTCTGTCAACTGGGAAGAAATGCTCTCGTGGGGTCTGGCCCTCCCAGGTCCTCTCCTTCCTGCAGCCCCGTGCAGGAGAGCTGCAGGCCCCGCCGCGTGCATGCACGCCCCCTTCCCCTGCTCTGTTTGCCGCTTCACAGCCGTGGCTGGCTCCCCCCGGTTCTGCTAGAGAAGGAAAGGTCTCCAGGGCCTCCAAGCTGGAGCTTCCCAGAGACTGCTATGGTTTTTATTATTTTTTTTCAGGAATTTTTTTTTTACGTTCCCCGTCAAATCAGCCACACCAATTCCAAATCCATGAGTCAGTCAAGAGCCATGTGTGGCCCTGCTACCGGCAGGCATCCTTCACCCCCGCCTGGGGCTTCAGACACTTCCAGATCCTTTGGCGGGCATCCTACATGCCTAGACGCTTGGGGTTGGGATGCCCCCAGTTTTGCTTGCCCTCACCCATTTCCGTGAAGTCGGCGTGATCCTCCCACTGGAAAGAGCTTTACCCCGGTCAGGGTGCTGCCCCCGGCCACGTTCGTGGTTTTCCCCTGCCAGTAGGAAAACCACCTTGGTGGGACTGGTATTTCCCCTGCCAGGGAAGACTGCAGTGATTTGCTGACGTTCACCCATTGCTTACCCTGGCACCTGCTTGTGCCCGCTACTGCTCGGCGGCTGCCTCTGGAGCAACACGTGGCAGCAGCTCGGGGTAGGTAGCAAAGAGCCTCCAGCTGCAGGACGCGGGTTAGACATGCTGGAATTTGGCCAAGGGGCCTGGGGCTAATCCCCTGCTTGTAATGAAGCGCCGTGGGCCTGTTAATGGTGGCAGCTGGCCAGGGCTTCGGTTTGACACCTCTGCCGAGGATGCACGGTGCCCTCCATCCCCTGCCTGGGCACTGATTCAGAGGTGCCCCTTGCAGGGTCTGCAGCCCTGCTCCCTGGAGCACCAAGGACTTCTTGGGTGGTCTCCCATTTCAATGGCAAAGTGGCTTCGGCATCGCTAACTGGAAAGGCAGCTTGTTAGCAACGGGGGGAGCGGTTCTGAGACATGGGTGTTGCCAAAGCTACCGGGAAGAGGCGAGCCCGAGGGTGGGAGGAGGGAAATTAGGATGTGGGAGCGTTGTGGATGTGCCTGGCCTAGATGCTCGGCTGGTGTCCATCAGGCTGGGGGGGTTGATGGAAGTGTGCGGGTTTGTACCAGCTGCAGGCCTGGCCCCGCATGCATGCAGGAGGACTGTGATTTGGATGCAGCACCCATGTAGCTCAGTCCATCGCCCCTTCTCCCCTCCTGCTTCGTTGCTCGTCTTTCCCACCTCCCCTCCCGTGCTATCCCTTGCAGCCACAGGACCTAAAAGGAGGGGATGCATTTCCCCTTACTTCCACCCCCGCGCTGCGGGGCTCCTGCACAGAGCAGTGCCTAAGGGAAGCACTCCCCAGCGGGGCACGCTGATGTGCTAGGACTGGAACTGCCCACTCCCATCCAGACATCCTGGCATCAGGCGGGCACCCCCACCCCCGTGCTACCGGGAGCTGGGTAACAACGCACCACCTTGACCCAAAGCTTCCTTCACCGTTTTTTACTGTTGCTCCTGGCAGGTGGTGAAACCCCCACACAAGGGGACTTCATAAGCAGGAGTGGGGATGGGTTCAAGGAGCAAACTTGCTTCAGCTTTTGCACTAGATTAGCAGCCCTTCGGGACACAGGTGCGCAGGGCTGTAGTGGGGGGAACAGAAAGGCGTACGCTCCCTTCCAGGCTCAGCTTTGTTTCACCGTCAAGTGCTGGAAAATTGCAGAGTGGAAACCTCATTAAAGCAGGGCCCTGGCGTCAGCTTGGTCTTTGCTGTAATTGGGCTTGTTCCTTGTTTGCCAGGAGAACTGGGGGTCAGGGGGAGGAGGCTGTTGGACAGAGGCAGGGCGGCATGGAGCAGACCTACCCCTTGTCTCACAGTTGCCTGCCTGGGCAAAGCAGCCTCTGAGGTTTAGGCACCTCCCTTGAGAGCGGGCAGGGGAGATCCTGACTTGAGACACGGGGAATGCAGGGGAAGCCCCACGTGTCCGAATTCAAGTCCCACGGAGACACGGCTTTAGCGTTGGAGCTGATCTACACCAGCTTGTATCCCGGTGACGTAGCCCTCGGGGCTGGGGGTGTCTGTGGATGTAAAGAGCCCCTCCCAGGGACAAGCATCCGGGGACTGAGCCCAGGCAACCAAAGCAGCAGCTTCACACGCTGGCAGCAGTAGTAGGCTCTTAACGTGCGCCGGCCGCGAAAGGGCTGCTTTGCAAGCGTGTCCCGTGGACAGTGCCCCTCCTGCTACACCTGACACAGTGTTAAGATACCTTGAGCGGCGCCCCGGCTGGGACCGGCAACGGAGGAGAAGGGAGAGGTCTCCCTGCACGGACCGGGCGGCAGGTCGCATGGGCGGCAGGATGAGTGAGGCGTTAGGGCTGGTGCCGAGGGGCTACAGGCGGTCCTGCCTTCTCCTCTCTGAGGACTGCGGGGTCCCGGCCCCTGCTCAGGTTCTCGCCCCCGCCCCGTCCTCCCCTCCCAACGTGCCCGACAGCTGCGCCGAGGTTTCCCGTAATTTCAGCAGAACTAATGCGAACCTCCAGCTCCAAATGCCTCCCATTAACCCTTTCCTGCTTGGCTTCCCGTGCCACTTGCAGTCGCTCTGGATTTTCCGAGCCTCGGAAGTGAAAAGCAGGGGCAGGATGGGCCCACGTCCCGGCTCAGGTGCAAGACCCCCTCAGCCAGCGGGCGGGGGATCAGGCCGACTTCACAAGAACAAAGAGCAGCTGGAGGGGGTTTTCTCAGCCAAGCTGGGTTTAGACGTGTTTGGGCCCAAGGGGACGCTGCAAGGGGCCGCAGGCCCCGTGGCCGTCCAGCCGTCTGCGTAAGCACACGCATGGAGGGGTGTGCATGGGTGATGGGGTACGCCGTTACAGGTTCACGTGTTTGCTGGTGCGTGCTTGAGCACGCAGGTTCATCTGCTCCCACAGGCCTGTTTCGCACGGCCCCGGGCGTGCACACGCAAGCTTTTGTACCCGTGCACACGGGATATTTTGCACACGGGTGCGCGGCAGCTTTCTCTGTGCACGCGTTTCCCGCCGTTCCTTGCGCAGGTTTGACTGCTCCTGCCGATGCTGCCAGCTTGGTGCAGACAGGCCGTGATTTTCCCAGGACTGGCTGGGCCACAAACCGGAGGGGGTGGTTCAGGTCTGCAGGTTTCCAGTGGGAAAGCACCTCCCAGGTTTGGACATCTCCCTTCACATTTGAGTTGCTTTTCCCCTTGCGAGGAGACACACAGCTGCTCTGCGCCCAGCCCAGGCGGCACCACAGGGAAGCCTTGGCCCCCTTCCTCCCTTTGGAAGCGGGGCAGTGAGGCCACGGCCCCGGGTATCATCAGGATCATCCAGGCGCTTTGCTGCGCAGGTGCAGGGGGCTGCTTGGAGGTGGCAGAAAGGTCAGACATGGGGGGCTCTGCAGCATGAGGGGCGGAACTAAGAGACCTGTGTATACCATGTATACCGTGCCAGTGCGTGGGGCCGGCCCTGGCGCTCCCCCGAGGGAAGCACGGGCCAGGCTCGAGCTGAGCCCCTCAGGGACAGCTACCCTGGCCCAGCTGCGTGGCACGCATGCGCGCCGGAAGCTGCCCCCTCCTCGTGCCCGCTGGTGCCGCCGGAGAAGGAGTCGGGGCAGAGCCGGGTCCGGGCACGTGCTGCGGGCGCTGGCGCCAAGCTGGAGGCGGACTCCCAGCGAGGGATCTGATTGGCGGGAGGCTCATGAATACGCAAATGTACCGCTTGCGGGAGGCTTCCCCATTGGCGCGCAGCTCCACTCTATGCAGATGAGCCCCGGGGGGAAAATGCCCCCCCCCCCCC